ATGGAGGAGGATTAAATGAAGCAGGATAAGGAGGATGAAGAGGATCAGGAGAAGCAGCAGCAGGCAGGGGATGAAGAGAAAGAGCAGCAGCAGGATGAGGAGAAGGAGATGCAGCAAGAGCGACAGCAGGATGAGGAGAAGGAGATGCAGCAAGAGCGACAGCAGGAGGAGGAGAAGGAGACACAGGAAGATAAGCAGAAGCAGGAGGATGATGAGGAGAAGCTGCATTAGCAGGAGGATGAGGAAGATGAGGAGAAGCTGCAGGAGGAGGAGGATAAGAAACAGTGGCAGCAGCAGAACGAGAAGGAGGGGGAGGATGAAGAGAAGCAGCAGCAGGCATAGGCTGAAGAGCAGGAGCATAGGCTGGGAAGGAGCGTGGAGGTGGAGGTCGCTTGGTTCCCGCGATCGCAACATACCAGGCGGTGCGAGCTGCGAGGGCCGCCCAATGCCACTTGTGGCTTTAATTTTATTTGGATTCGGCTGATCCTTGTGATAAATGTTTGGTTCAGGCCCAGGTTTAGAAAAAAAAATATCACGGGTTGCAGCTGGCATGAGAAAAGAGACTCGGATAAAATATAAAATTATGACTGAAAACTCCTTCTAAGATGCTAATCTGGTATAGTGGTTCTGCAGGGATCAACAAGACTTTGGCTAAAGATGTTTTAGAACTGATTGGTGACCTTTAGTTTAGATTTTAAGGTAATTAGTTATTGTAAGAAGAATCAGTATAAGTTGTTTTGCTGATTGGATCAAAAACAAGCGGTTAAAAAAAAGGCAGTAACTGGAAAACTGAATGAGACAAGATCTGCATGATCTGTGAATGATAGAGGCAGACTTAACTTCCTGTTAAATGTTCATTCATTATGATGTTTTTGTCTGTAGCTTCAACTATTATGGTAATTAGCATTTTTAGTATGTAATCAGATGAGATGACAATAATAACAGTAATATGTATGATGAGATTATACCAGAATATCCTCAGTATCTCATCTATAAAATAACCAACGTGTGTGAAACAAATATCTTTAACTATGAAATTGTAAGTTTTCAAGTTGTACATTTTAATGTTTTAAGAAGGGATTGTGATTACATTATTTCTCTGTTTTAGAATACTGTAAGATATATATAAAAGGAAATAAGAAGAAAGGATGACTGATAGAAAGAAGACTGAATGAGTGCAGAAAAATAGTAACACTGATGGAAAGAACAGTTGAACAGAAGGGAAAAATCTACTTAGAAGGGTAAAACAGAGATCAGGCAGAAGTCGTAAGAGGGCTAGAAAGAAAAGGACCTCAGTAACAAACCAGACATACCTGGATTAATCAGCTTGTCCAGTAATTACAAACAGGAAACAAAGGAGCTGCTGAAGTTCAGGAAGTAGTGAAGCTGTGCATAGAGCCCCTTAGTGGGCAAAATGAATCTCCTTCTTTGAGAGGCATAGAGCCCTTTTTTGGTCAGTTGACAATAATAAACATTTATCATCCTTTACTGCAGGTTTGACTACTGCTTGTTTTTGATCCATGTTAATGCAGTAAAACCTAATTCTCATAGGTATGTAGATGTGAACAGAATGAGTTTTTGCAGATCTTTTATAGCCAGATTTACACTACCCTCTGAAAACCGATCCCTGCCGAGCTTGGTTCCTTATGACCATTTACATACCACGCTAGCACGGTTCCTCGCTTCTTAGTGACGATCTACGGTACTACTGCTCTCTAGAGGTAAACAAGCAAATCAACGTGGCAGCACCTGTAACATTCAGGAAGTTTTAGAACAGTTATCTATTGCACTCGTGATCTTTATGGATCAACAATACACCCACACAACCCCTTTTTTTGATACAAGCAAAGTTGTGCTACTTATTAGAAATATTTGAAGATGAGACCCACACAGTTTTGCATGTGGAACAAAAAGTTCAGTATTTGTCTCATCTGGCAGGTGCACCTTTATTCACGATTGCTGTGTTCCTTGCTTGACTTCCAGCTAGCTCTAAGGAAAATATCTTCTTCCTTCAACGATGGTTTTCTTCGTATCAAACTTCTATAAAGGCCAAAATTTGGTGCGTGAACAACCAGTTTTTCAGATTCTAAGTTGTACGTGTGTCTGAAACTCCTTCAGATGGGTTAAAAGAAGAATATGTAGTGCAATCATTTTCGTTTTTAGTTCACATTTTTTGCACCACTTTGTGTTGGTCAAGCTTGTGGTTGTGATATGACACAATATGGAACCTATCAAGAATTACAAACATTTTTGCAAGGCACAGTTCATATGTCTTATCTTGCTGGTTTACAAAACTTTGTAATCAACCTCAATTTTATCTACAGCACATTGGCAAGACCCAAGAAAAGAAGGGAATACTAAAGCCTTTTAGCAATCTAGTCTATGATATACAGGTTTTTCATTTTGATTTATTATTTCAAAACTTTTCAGAGTCAAAGAAAAAAAAACTATAATCCACCAGTTTGAGGGTCAATTTGATATATTACCCCATGAAAACTTCAAAAGGCTGCTCAAGTGAGTGACTCCTTTTCTGAGTGTGGTCTGTTCAAGTTTTTTTTAATCTTCAAAAGGTACATTTTCAAGGCATTCTTTGTTGTATTAGTTTGAGCTTAAGTTCACTGGGCAAATTTTTCTCTAAAATCACATTCACTTTACACTAATTTTGCAACAACCTTTGAAGACGTCAAAGTGGGGTTACTTTAAGGAAGAAATAACTTCAACTTTTGTTTGGGAACACTGAAATAGCTTTTAGACAATTTGGCAAATAAAATGCATAAAATAGAACCCCAGGTACAGGGAGTGGCAAGTTTTGTTCACAAGAACCACCCATATTTCCTATCGTTGCATTCCATAAAACAGAAACACAAGCCACCACAACTGCCAATGGCAATCACCAGTCAAACCTGTTAGCCATACTGTGCCTCTACTTGCAGTACAACCTATAAAATCATAATTATAACAACAAACCTAAAAGGATGAAGTCTTTTTTTTTTTTTTTATTCTATGCAGTCAGCATGTTCCAGAGCATGATAGATGATGAGGTGGTTTGCAGTGAGTTAATGGGGCACCTGACCCAGTTATGCACAAGTTTGGCTTAATGCATGCAATGTTGGATTTGTATCTAACATTACTGTGCTAAAATCAAAGTATCTAAAGATTTGCCTTTGTTCGTTAGTTTTAATTATTTGCTAATAATTTCATTGCCTAGTGCAATTATTATGACCCTCTGTTAAATCTCTATGCTTGCTTTGTGAAAATAAGCTCAATTACAATTGTATATTTTGAAAAATTAAACATACCTAAAGCATACCTAAAGCTTTTACTAGGAAAATAACATATAAATAAATGAAAAAATGAAATGAATGAAAAATATATTTTGCTCTGTCCTTCTTGTTTTAACAGTTAAACTGACAGATATTAAAAGCTTATTGCCTAGTATGATGTGTTGTTCAGGAAGAGTCGTTTTTATAACACTGACTAAGGATAAAAGAAAATAAACTGTTCTTTTAGTAATCCAAAGAAGACCAATTCCTTCACTAGACCTTTCACCTTAGAAGAGTTATTCCCAACCAGGGGTACGCATACACCTAGTTGTCCGCGAATGTACTGCAAGGGATAGAGGAAAATAGTACGTTTTTCTTTGAGATCACCTTCAGCTGTGACATACATCCAAACCAAGCAGAGGAGCAGACTGGATGTAGAGAACAGCCTGGTATAAGCTATTTTTCAACACTGAACTCAGCTGTCATTAGTGATAAAAACAAAATAAAACAAATAGAGTTAGTCTAACTATAATTTTTTGTTCAGTATTTTTTTCTCAACTCCTAAAGTTTAAATGTGATTACAGTAGAGTTAACTCAGAGGAGCACCAGTTTTATAAAGTGAGGTTTATAGTATGATTTTTTTCATGTATTTATTTTGAATCTGTACTAGCTATTTGAGTAAAAAACAAAACAAATCAAATAATTAAATGCTCAAGTTAAAAGATTAAATTATTTGTTTTTTTTTATTTCAAAATCAGTTATTGTACATTACCCTTTTGGACAATCATCAATCATACTTTTGACTGAGAGTCCTCATGGTAAGACAAAATGCCCAAAGGGTACACAAGTCAAAAAAAAAGGTTGGGAAAAACTGATCTAAAACTCATACATTGTTATCCAATGGTGTGGATCAGAAACCCAATACGCAACTAGATTAGCTAAAGGCAATCTATGCCGCTGCAATGTGAAAGACTGAATGAACTCCAGCTAAATAAGCTTACCCAGAAAAGATATCCTCCATAAATGTCGCTCTCTTGTTCTTAATGAGTTTGGCTATACTTTCTATCCACTGAAAACTTGCATTTACACTTGCGTGAGTGGAATTATTTAAAGAAGAGTGAAGATAAATGTCTGACCCCTGTCTGACTACATGTGGTCTAGTCAAACGTGAGAACAGCTCCTTTCCATCAACACCTGACCTTGATTCTGTGGTCTATTAAGCACAGCCTCATACATATGCACACTGCATACTCTCTAGGGGGATGACCTGTATCAGTGACAGGTGTCTATTTAAAAAGAACAAGACTGTAACAGCAAAGGAGACTTCTTCTAGAGTGAAGCAACAAAAGTCAGCAAGACTGACAGGCTGCGGTGGAGGAAGAGGAACTAAAGACAGTAACATTGACATCAACAGATGCGGAAAACAGCTGAGTCCATCTGACTAAAACATTGCTCAAACCACATTGATGTCACAACCACAGAGCAGCTTAAAACAAGCTTCACTTTTGCTTCTTTTTCTTTTTAAAGATCTACCATTGAAGTGGGAATGGTAGAAAGAAATGAGAAAAAGAGACAGATGTAGGAGTACACAAAAGCAGATGACCAGAATTTCTTTAAAAAAAATAGCACTACTTATTTCCATTTCACTCAAGTTTGCTTTTACATTTAGTATTCTCTTCTGTACTCAGAACTCTAACATTTCTGAAAGACCCTTTGTTTTTTTTGAGAGCATCTTACCTTGTACACCTGCCCGTAGGTGCCATTTCCCACCAGCTCAACCAGGTCAAAGATTCCAGAGGGATCCTGCAATGCAAAGGAACCACAACACAATATTAGCATCTTAAAGATTTAGTACAAGAATTTCTACTGTACACATTTAAAAAAGTAAAAAAAAAAATTATTTAATCAAATAAAAAAGTGCAGTTAAATAATCATATGTGGAAAAGATCTGCCTCAATTGCGCACCAGGAATGGCATGTTTTTAGCCAACATGCCTGACTAAAAACCTGAAAAGATGCACTCTCTTTACCCATTGGATAATACCAAAATGTTTTGAGACCCATTTAAACAGCAATAGACAATCAAAAATGATAACTCCCTAAATCTTTGTGCTATAATTAAATTCATTATTTACAAATATGTTTTCTCTGGCTGGGAATAACACTAATTTGTCGCTCCCTTATTCTGGAGTTGGCACAGCAAGTCTATGACTTGCACGTCAAATTTGGCACACTTTTTATGAGGTAAACCATCATGTAGTTTCTTTAAAGAAGTCTAAAAAGAGTTGATATTTGTTTTTGTTTTTTAAGAGACTTCCCTTTCGTATTCTATTAGCAACTTGAAAAGCACTCGAAGGTCAAATACCTCCATCAAGTAGTTCATTTCTCCTGACATACTATGACTTCCATTAAACTGATACCTGTAGCCTATATATGGAATCTTTGAAAAAAATCTTGGATCCTGATAGTGATCCAGATCAGTATATTTAAGTAGATGTTGACGATAACCATTACCAACATTTACTGGACATTGTTTATTGGACTGTGGTGCGCCTTTGGTAACCAAGTCATTAGAATCCCTGCATAACATTTCAAGTTATCCTATACAAGAACAGACAGACAAACACATACACTCTCCTAACTGGTAAAAATACTTCCTGGTTTAGCTAAATATGGTGGAAGACTGCCGAATTTCTGGCCGATCACAGATCTTTAAAAAGACAGAACTGCCAATTTTTATTTTGTTCGATACCAATTCTTTCAACACTGACACTCTCTGTCAGGTGTTATAAGGTGACAGCAAATCTTCAATGGTTCAATTCTATTTTATTGACATACATTGAGCAACACGACTTAAACAATGCAAGTTTGTTTTTACTGCACATGAGAGATGTCTCGAATATAAATTTAATTTTAGAGCGTTGACACTGGCCGATTTCCTGACCTTTGGGGTCAGGAAAGACAGTTTCACATTTAGTATTGGCCAATCTATAGGGTGGTAATGGTATGCATACTTGCACCAAAGCGCTCTGTACATCACCCATGGTTAGGCACAATTCTGTAGCAACTTGGTTGAGGTATATTTATTAATATATTGTTTCATTTATTATGTCACATTTATCGTTTTATAAGGTCGTGTCTGACCTATTTACAATTCCTCATAAGCTTAAGCTATGGCTCCCTAGCCTGTCAAGGCTTTTGACTTATCAGAAGAAAGAAAAGAGCTATACAGTAGGAAGCACCCTGCGACCTAGAGTCCCCCATCTGGGAGCATTTTGAATTTCGAGTCAGATACAAATATATGCACTTTCTGAGAGGAAAGAAGAATTTCTATTTTACCATTGAACGAATTTTGTTTAAGTATGTTGATTTAAAAATTTTTTTTTCTTTAGAAAATTCTGTTATGTCAATTTGCATATCACAATTCCACCTCTATATTCCCCTTTATTTAGCTAATCTTTGCTGGTTTTATTATTGTTTTATTAACAACAAACAGAGTTTGACGTTAAAAGACAGGCATGGCTTTTCACACTAACCTGTAACAATTGCCTGGGCCTTACTTAGAAGTCAGCCCACAATTATGGCCCACCTTTAATGGTTTTGGATTCACTCAATATTCCTCTCCTCCAAGCGTTCCCTGCTTTCAAATACATTGTTGGGTTGTTTTAGGCAGGCATCCAGACTAGCTTATAATTCAAGCCCACAGACACTAGGTTGCCACCATCGAATTGAAAGAACCTTGGACAGAGCATAAAAGCTACTGACCCATGCATACACACACCTCCCCCTGCTTCTCCACTGTGTGTTGCTACGGCATTCCAACAATAGCTGGCATTTAACCTCTCTTCTCTTCCCTTCTTTGCTTTCATTCCATTGCTCTGGCTTCAGTTTTCCAACCAGCTGATGTCCATCTAAGTCTCTCTCTTGTTCTCTCTTTTATCTACATAGCTCTCTTTCACTCCTGACAGAATCCAGGACAAGTTCTTCCTGCCAACACTCTTTTCACTCCAACAGTGAAGATGTTTCAGAGGAGCAGAAACAAGCTCAGCATCTCTTCTAAACCCTTCAACCTTTTTTTTACCACCAAAGTACTGAAAAAAGCATGGCTATTTAAGAGATAAACAACAAACTTTAGGCTGCTACCAGGTTTTCCATTTTCTCAACATGTCAAATATAAGCTACTGACATACACCAAACCTCAATGCTCAATTCCGATTTTTTTCCTTAAATACGATCTGTTTGGCGTGGTCATTTGTACTACTAAGTGCAACGACTTTCGTTACCAAGTGTTTTATTAAGCTCTGTTGAAGAAAATGCAACAGTGGATGTGGGTTTCTCTGAGTTATCATTAAAATGTTGAGCAATGGGAGCCTAGAGTGTCATGGTAACATCATAAAAAAAGAAGACAAGTGAAAACAGTGTGCATATTTACAACGGCCTTTAGCAGAGCAGCCAGAGAACGCTGCTGCAAAGTAGCCTTTATGTGCAGTGGGAGCCAGGGCAATGATGTAAAAGTCGAAAAAAAACACATAGAAGTGGCTCAATTTGTTTTTGGGCAGGTGAAAAGGACAGACTTGGTTTAGTCAAAGTGCCATGAGAAAGTATTTTATTGGCTTAATTAGACAAACATCCTCATGGGCATAAAAAATCTACAAGATTTAAATCAATTAATGGTGTCCTTTAAAATTTGACTCTAGGAGAGAGTGATTTTACCAAACATCTAAACTATGATTTCTCCAAGCAGAACTGGGATTGCACTTTGATATTCATCTGCACTGCTCCCAGACATAAACGGCTCCAGAAATTTCCTTAAAAAGTCATGAGTAAACTTTCTAATTTCATTTGAGGAGGATGATAGAATCCAACTATTGACCACAGCATGACAAGAATTGATGTTTTTTTCTTTGATACCAATTAGTCATTTATGTTTTGAAATTTGAATACAGATTTATAGGGTAATATCATCCATTTCTGCAGTAAAAACTTGTAAACTATATAAAATGTTTAATAAGTATAGATATGCAAAAACATTAGCTTGATTAGCCAGTTGGGAGATAAAAAATAAATAAGTTATCTTTTGTAGATTATAGAACACTAAGGCTGCATCTAACAATTTCAATAGTCAGCTTGTCTATTCATTTTTTTTATTAGTCAACTAATCATTGTTTTTTCTAATCACTATGATTTAATTCTATCATTAAACATTACTCATCAGTTGTTTGTAAAAAGTATCTTGACTCACTTGTTCTTATCTTCAAACTTGTGAATTTTAATCTCTTAATTGCCTCCTTTTGCCACAAAATATATTACCTTTATAAATGAAAATCCATCAAATATTAGTGTGAAATTGAACTGAATACAATATATTTAACTTTGTAACTTTGTAACATAACTTTGTAAAATATAAAACAAGAATTAAAATGTATTCAAAAACAACTAATTTTTTATAATACTTTCTAAAAATGCTTTATGTTACAAGTATTTTAAACTATAGCGTAATAATAGAAAGTAAAAACAGCCGTTAATGTTTTTTGCAGTCATGCATGCTCTTTTTTTATAAGGTAATGATCATAACATCGATATTAAAGAAGAAAGATTGTCAAAATTGGGATTACAAAATATAATTTTCATCATATGAGTAAAACATTAAAGTTGAATAAAACTATCCCATTATGCTGCCTCACATTAAACTTATTAACAAATGAAACCGTGAAATAAGCCAAACTTTAACCACTATATATCATCTGACTGAATTATAACTGTGTTTAACTTCAAGTTAGTGTAAAAACTAGCAGCAGTTTCAAAACCATGAGCCCCTAGAGGCAGCCTTACTCAGGCAGCAATTCTTGTGTCTGATTTTAAACGATGCTGCAATGCAGGACATATTTTTGCGGCATTATTTTATTTCTTTTAAATATTGGGTGTTATCGATTGCTGCTTTTAGCATTAATTATGAATTACTACCCTTAGGGCCGGATCTATGAAAGGTTTGCGTGTATAAAAACGTGAGCTATTTCACTGCGCACGCTAAAAAATGTACAAACTGATCTATCAACAGCGTGCTAAAAGGATTTGGTCTTTAAAATGTGCTAAATAGAGCCTCTTATCCATTTAGTACTTTTTCTGCAATGAATATGCAATATGGGGCGTTTACACGCAAAAGTGCGTCTTGTGGGAGGAGAACATGTAAATATATTAATTTAGCACTCGCAAAGTGATTTATCAAACCTGAAAGCAATTTTGCTAACGGTATCTGACTCTATATTTAACACGTTTCAAAAGAAGGTGCAAATGGACTATATGCGTAATTGCGCACACATGGCAGCGGTTATTGCCGCAAGAAGGAGACATTGAAATGAAGCAAGGAGACGCAGAGAACGCAGTTTTTCACTCCGTGTGAATATTTTTGGAATGAACGAGGAAACGATCAAAACATATCGTTTATCCAGCATTGCCATTTTGGAGCTGCAATTCCAGTTATTTGCTCCTCACAGAGCGTCAGCTGTACTTGTTCCTCAATGCTGGTCAGAGGCATCTCATCTACTGTGCCCCCTCATGTTTTGTTCGCGGATGTTTTGTTATATGCCAGTTTTTCTTTGGTTCGCCTTCTAATATCCTGGTATCTTCTTTTTACTTTATCCACTGTTCGCAAGGTTTCACCAACAGCGTTTACTTTATTACAGATTTGTTCACATATAGCGTTCCTCTGTGTGACAGTCAAACTTCTTTGCTGTAGCTCACTTAAATATTTGTTGGCTTCATCCACCAACACCTCCATTTCCATGGGGTCGAATTTCCTTTTGC